GGCATGCCCCGCGAAAGAAAAGTTTGTGTTCAAGACGCCCGAAAATAACATTTGAGGCGTTCTGGGATATCATTTTGTTCTTTTTCTTTTTTTTTTTCTTTTTTTCCCTTTTTTTTTTACCTCCCAAGGGGGGGGGGTAGCGGGGCCGCCCCCCCTTAAATCTGCCCCTGTACATTCATCCATCCATGCATCCTTCCATCCATGCATCTATCTATCCATACACCATACATCCAGCTATCCTTGCATCCATCCATATTTCCATTAATGTATCCATCTATCTATCCTTCTATATATACTTGCATACAACTAGTTATATATTTATTCATTAATTTAATAATTCAATCATTTCATTATATTATGATTTAATTCATTCATTTCCATACATTATTATTGGCATGTTGTTGTTATTTACAAATTTGAAATAAAGATTGGTAAGAAAGAAAAAAAAAATCTTACGATTGTGATTATGTACGCCCCTGTCTAGGATGTCGACTTAAATTATTATGTTTTCATACTATTCTGTAAGATAGTTTTTGCAGAATTTTGCCAAGATAGTGTTTGATTTACCATGTTACCGAAATACATTAGTGACGTCAGATAATAACTTGACCAGGTTGAACCACACAGTGCGTTAGCGTGTTCGTGCTTTATCAAATCAAATCAAATCAACATTTATTTCTTTCACATTATATAACGTATATACAATGTTTTAGTAAATATGAATTAAATAGAAAGATTGATATTAATGTTCGACGTCATTCTTTTTATACTTAATGTATTTATGGTTGATATTCGTGCAACTACATTGAAATTGATACCAAGTATGTTGCCACTCGGTTTATTTCTTCCAATCTGTTGTCACCCTGTCCTTTGCCACAATGGTCAATTTCCCCACCACCGGCCCCCAGCCATTCGGCTTTCCTCTAAGAAGCATTTTGTCACCTGGCATTTTCTCCAACACGATCGTATTAACTCAAGCCTTGTTGCTCCAGTTTCATACAGTTATACAATAATTTGTACTTTTTATTTCAAGGTACTGGCCGTACTACGTCGTCGATGGTCAAGTTGGCGTCTTAGGCGGATAAGTGGTAATCCAAATCGTAGGACATCAGCCTCAGTGTTTACAACACTTACCGATGTAAGTGTGTAGACCATTTTACCATTAAACTGCTAACGGCAGTAGGCCTAACTATACCCGATAAAAGTTTGTCATTTTAAGTGTGTAAATATCAGGTATTATGCAATAAAAATCAATAGGTTTCATCATAATGGAAATTAGTGCACCAGTACACTATTTTAACATATTATTAGTGGAAGACAAATTACGATATAGCCTACAAAACTGAATTTGTCGATGACGATTTGAGAGTAATCAATAGACAATCCAATTAAATGTCATATACAATTTATATACAATTTACATAAATTTTGCTACGTGCTACGAGTTACAAAAATACACACTCGATGTCTTTTCGCAGCTTTCTAATAAGGCGATGATGTTATAACTAAATAACACTGTAGATTATTACATTTTAAATACCTATCGTACAACCTTACTTATTAAAATCATTTTGTAGGGTTTCTGAAAAATAATAGGAGAAGGACATGGATTAATGGTCTGAATTGAAAGGGGATGTTTGCAACTCATATTTGTATACTTTCGCCAACTTAAAAACGTACAAGTATTTATTGGCCAATGTAAACCTGGTTCATTTGAAACGTTAATCATTTACTTATTTATACAATGTAATATACGATAGTCCTAAAATATAATAACACCTGATTATTTTAAGCAAAATCTTTAAATCAGTAGTTATAATATGTATATATATTAAATTAAATCTGATGTTTAATTAAATAATAGTGTAAAATATTCACATACTAAACATATTTATAGTAGGCCTATAAGATTTCTGATAAAACAGAAACAGTGTAATCACATTACAGCGTAAAGAAGTAATTTTATGACCATTTTGTGCAACACAAGTGATCGAAATAAATATATGGCAACTCATATTGTCATTTTTATTACAAGCCGTAGGCATAGTTCTGGTAATACTCTATCGATACGCATCACGTGCGCTGAGAACTATATATTAATACTGAATATTATTTTTGTTGTGTTAAGATATATACCGTACTTTGCCAAGAACAAACAAAAAAATAAAAAACAAACAAACAAACAAACAAAAAACCAAACTTGTTGTTTAAATGTGATTATTATCTTCATACTTATCATTTTCTTTAAAAAAAATCATATTATATCTAATCGACATTACAATGACTTGATGCATTTCCTCAAAGTTTTAACGAGTGAACGACTTGCCTAACGACGAAATATAGGCCATAATACTGTAAATGGGGGAGCACATTATAATATCGACGAAAGATGTGAAAAAGTATTAAATAGACAATAAAAATTTCATCTGAAACTCACATTCTGATCGGTCATTATAGGCCTATTATTCAAGGAAATGTTTTTCAATTTCTATAGAGGTCAGGTAAATATTATTTATCTGAATTTCATAAATCGTTTATGATTATGAATTAGAAACGATGAGCTTCTGCGTGCCTTTGTGTTTAAGACAACTGTCCAATATAAAATAATAATGTTCGAATACGCGAAATGAGATGTAACCAATACTGAGGTAGAGAAAAAGTATAAACAATGTTCCAAATGTAGTATAGCCGCAAACGAAGATTCCAGTCAAGTCATTTACTGTAGTAGGCCGGAAATCAAATCGTTCATCCAAATATGAGGTGACACCATAAACCATCCCATGTCGATCAGACGTGGGCCTGGGTGTTCCTCCAACTAAAACCTTTAACAAATACTCCAACCAACGAATTTAAATTAACTTCGATTTGGGCAGCAGCCTACCCGATCTAACTTTAGAGTCTGCTCGATCAGAGCTGAACGGTGTATACTCTGTCCCATCTAAGTTAGTTTATAGTTATGATGGTAGGTACTCTGACGGAATGGCCGCCTGGCCAGAGCCACGACCCTCGGGCTGAACTACCGCTCTTCTCTCAATTGGAATACAATCGACTTGTACTTCAGTGTCTTGTATCAAACCGTTCAGGGTAACTTAAAGAAGGGCATAGCTCCTCCTTGTTCCTGACTTAATAAATGCCATTGGTTTATTATTTTATTAATCATGAGACAATTTAATTCTTATTGGTTCTTATCTCTAGCTTACACCCCTAAGTCACTTTTCATTCCCTACCTTGGTTCCGGTCATCCATCACATTTGGGTGGACAGGATACTTCCCCCAACAGGAATATACAATAGGGCGACTAAATCCCAGGGGAAACAGCCTACCTAGATATTACACACGGTTGACTATAGGAAATGGAATGCATCTTTAGGTTAATAACCTATGCTAGGAACTATAGTAAAATAAAATAATATCAAAATACATTCATTCAAATAATAAATGCAAAGGCATTAAACACAAAAAATACACACTACTACACCCCAATGTATGTAGGCCTATGTATTAGGCCTAAAATTTACGATAAAATATAATTTAAGGAAAAAAGATAAGCAAAATTTAAAATGTACGGTACACATGCGTTAAACATACGTGTATACATACACATATAGACCTACATAAAATAAAATAAAATGAATAAGCAAGTAACGTGTGCTGTAAATTTTATTTTTATTATTCATACATATACAAATATATTTATATACTGTATATAATGGAAATACAGCAATAAAACGCGGAATGGAGTTGTAGACGTAATATGAAGCACAACCATTTATTAATAACATAAATATTTCAAACACAACCTGTGTTCTTCCGTAGTGTGATAAATTATTTTGCTTTATATTACGTCTACAACTTCCAACATGCGTTTTATTGCTGTGTTTTCACATTATATTTATTGAAGCAAACGTGGAATCTTTATTTTCTTGTATTTCTTTGCAAAACAAAAGGCGAGGTAAAAATACCTGTACAGAATATAAGCACACTGTACATATATCATCATCATTATTAACAATGTACCGCTAAATTATGTATTAACTTATTATCAGTCTAACCGAGCCCTCTCATATCAATCGCTGTCAAACTTTACACTAAAGTTAGTATCGTACATACAAGTTGACATAAACATTAGAAAAAAGACAAAGAAAACAGAATAACTAAAACACCTTGTTAATTCAAATGTTCTAATTTTTATAACATGTGACTAAAAAGTTGAAAGAAAGGTAGGTATTATATTGTCTATGCTTTTTTGAAAAAAAAACTCCCAAAGTTTTTAATTAAAACTTTCAATTTCCTTTAAATATGATCACAAGTATGATTAAATTTATACAGATTTCGCTCAGTTACAGACGTTTTATACTACAAAATGTTATAGAGTAATTACAGCACTAGACATATGAGGCGCCGAAATATTAATGGATTTTGCTCTATTTAATAAATAATATAATTGCTTATGTATGTACAGTATTACATTTTAATGAGAAGTCGGCGCCTCATAGTTATAGCCCCCTGTGCTGTGCAGTGAATAGAAACGGTACTATAAATTTTAAATTGAAATTAAATAATTTAAATATAGAATATCGTTGCTTAAGTTAAATAGCCCAATCCACTGACATCTTCTCATACTTATTAAAAAATAGAAGTGACTAAAATATCTTTTCATTGGGCTTAGAGAATGGATAAAAGAATCACCGGATTTGTATCCAATTCTGGAATTCGAAGGCGAGCATTTTAAACCCAACGTTACACCTCTAGTCCAGCATCTAGGCTAGTCCTTTGCCTATGCATGCCTTTGAACATTTTTACTGACAAATAAATGTAATATAAACTTGAAAAATTGTTCTTTCCAACCGACATTTAAGTATTATTAACATTCCTATTGCTTTTGCAATTACCCTTCCATTTCCGACAGAAATTTTATGGGTTTTTGAGGTAAAGAATTTCTGTTAATTGTGTCAATACTGGATTGTGACTTGAAATTTGATTGTTCCCTCAAAGTTCGAATCCTTTACCCACAAACATTTACCGGTTAGTATGAATGGGCCCATAGACAGTTGTCATAACATGAAGCCCGTAGGCAACCTGCCCGTAGGGCCTCCGCAATTGGCATAGTCTATACAGTATGAAGGGATGTATGGGTCCAATACTTGCTTATGTTCAACAATAGCATGCAATTCTCCGTTTAAACTTTGCCATGGCTGTTCATTTCATTTAATCTTAGTTTTATATTTTAACATAACTTTATATTTTCGTTGAAGGACTCCGAGGCCGGTACGCGTCGCGCCAGTGCCCGCCAAACCTATGTAAGTTATCACCGTTAAGTTATATTTTCCCCACGTCCGTGCAATTAATATACTGTAAATAATGCGCTTCTTCTATTTACTTCATAAATGGTTAAATATTATTGTTGCAATTGCTCCATTCAAAATTTTAAAGCGCCTCAGAGAAAAGAGGCTTAAGAAAAATATGAAAGCTAAAACGAGCATTTTTTGTAGGCATAATTTGAGCATTGCTTTGGCTACTTATACATCTACATTAAAAAGCTATTAAAAAGTTAAAGTTCCTTCTATTGTTCACTAACAATTTCCAAGCATAAATTAAATTTCGCATAAACATGGTAAAATTAAAGTATGCACACAATTTGTAATAAACTAATAATAAAAAAAAAAGTTTAATACTGAGGGGTAAAACCGACAAATATAGGAAGCAAATTAACATTTTAATCTTCATCAGTATTTTTCTGCGTGCGTCCATGCTATATGTTTTGTTTGAAAGTTTGTTAACGTAACGTGATTCGTATGCTGGGTAGCATTACTCCATGCTGTGTGTGTTACAGTTTGTCTACGCACAGACCAAGAAGACACCCAGGCCTAAATCCGACATCTGGCCCATTTATTAGAACCATCACCCAACATCATCACCATGGTAACGTATGCATGTGTTCACACTGGTGCATGTAAACTAACCTTCAGAAGCACTGCTTATCTGTATAATTATTATCAGTATGAAATTGTCTGCCTTGCAAATGCACTCGTATCGCCCGGTCCTCTAAGTATATTTTGAATGGTTGGTTATTTTAGACATTGCCGTTTTAAAAACTAGAGGAAACATTAATATGAAGTCGTCTCATGATTAATCCAAGTTGCATTCTAAAAATATCGAGGGGATATGCATAATATAGCATGGTATATTATTATGGTAGTATGAAACAAACTCCTAAAATGAAAAACCAGGGAATAACACAAAGGACTGCGTCATTTGCTCAGGAGCTTGTCTTATACTATGTCTATGTCAAATTTATACTTGCATGCTAGGAATCACGATGCAGCGTGGAAATCTTTCCACCTCTACAACCTCATCCAAAATAGGCCTACCGCTAATTATTGTTAATAACAATAGGACTAACCAAAGCTAGCTTTAATTGTAGACACGCGTCCCGTCAAGGAAGACTATCTAGCAAACCATGGCCTACCCCCTTAAATCTGCATGAGCGTTTTATTACGCTGGCATCTATTAATCGAAATTAGATGGTGTGTTGCCTCCATAACTTAACGTATAGCCGCATTCACCAGGCCTAGCATGCTGTTCCTTGTAAAATCTGGGAGAATTTCTATCATACATTGTCTACTTGTGATCGTGTGCGTGCTGATAAAACTGTTTTGTTATACAGTATTTTGAACCATGAAAAAATTAAAATTACTATTTAGTTGCATGGTGTATTAATATTATTATTATTATTATTAGTCGTCCATGTATTTTAGCAGAGCAACATGGCAGTCGTTCAAAAAATTATGAATTTCTTGATATTGCAACTTTGTGACATGTGTGTGGGGTTGTCATTCTTAACAAATTTCCAAGACTTCGTAGACAAAAACGACCAAGTTAATGACGTCACTCTTTAACATGAGTTGAGCAGTTCAGTGCTGTATTGTTTTAACGGCGTAAACGCTCAAGATTATCAACGTATAATCTGGCGTTTATTACATACAAATTCTATTAAACCTTTTCAATTATTATGCGAAAGAGCTAACGTCATAATGGTATTGGTCTAGTAATGAACATAGGTCTGCTATGTATTATGGTAATTATAATGTTGCTGTGTTACGTGTAATAAACTTAGGCATAAACTGTGTAATATAGGCCACCTTAAATAATCATTAAAATGTATAGGCCCAATAACGCATTACTGCAAAACGGAGTTTCTTTATCGTAACATACCGGTGGCCTATACACATCTAGATGTGTATAAGAGACAGGTACATATATCATCATCATTATTAACAATGTACCGCTAAATTATGTATTAACTTATTATCAGTCTAACCGAGCCCTCTCATATCAATCGCTGTCAAACTTTACACTAAAGTTAGTATCGTACATACAAGTTGACATAAACATTAGAAAAAAGACAAAGAAAACAGAAAGTGTTATTTACGTACGTTTTCAACATTATTCCAATATCAATGTTAAATTTTAATAAAACTTGATAATCTCAGATATTTGTCAAACTAAATGTTTTCACTTAACTGTTGCGGTGTATTAGGAAAATCGTAAAGGTGGCTATATTCATAAATTATGCGATTTTCGTTTAAGAAAGGTGTGGAGAAGGTTGTGCAAATAAGATGAAAACTTATACATATATTATCTCTTACAGGTGCGGATGGCGACAATTCGGGATGATGATGAGGAGCAGCTGGACGAAAAATCACCGTGCAATCCTCAAGTCCACATTGCTGTTGAAGATGCAAACCAGAATAACAAACTAAACGGCCATGTTTGAGGAATTCATTCCGTAAAAGACACTCAAAAGGATTACTATAATCATGGCGTTAGAATAAAGAGGTTATTAAGCATCCATCTAGTTTGTGAATTCAGATACATTTGGATCTTAGAGCAGTCTTTACATTGCGATGGGTAGAATAAATGTGACCATAGAGAGATATAAATAAAAGAGAACACGATACGTTATGTTGAATAATGCTAACGGATAAGCAGGGTCTTGAAAGGTTAATAATGTAATCGTAAAATATCCTTCGTATTTTGATTTCAATTTCCAAATGGATGTTCTGCTTTCAGCACGTCTCATGTAGTCAAATTATATTGTAAATACAGCTTAGTCAAATCTTGACATACATTTTAACCGGTAATTGTTTGCCTCGAACGGAATGTCTGCGCGTGCGTATTATCTAGAGATATGGAATCAAATTATTTACCTATTGAACGTGCTGAGCCGGTCGCACAAGGTAACTAAAGTCAGGCACTCATTGCGTTGTACGACCGTCGGCCGACGAATCCAACTCCGGCCGCTAATTGTCGGTAGTAGTCTGAACGATCCGTTGCGCGCGCGTCTAGCTTGGAGTTGTGTTCTCCATGATATCTCGTCGGCCGACAACCGTCGTGCGCAGTGAGTGCCCTGCTTTAGGTATCGCCGTTCATAACCCGGAATAACTTGTCGATTGCTGACACGTGCTAATCCACCCAAAATATTGGAAGTTCATAACTAAAATCAAATTTATTTGATTCTAATTTGTCGTATTTGGATTTAAAGGGACATTCATTGAGACAGTTTCTTATATTTTTAGCAGATAAATCATTCATCATTTGACAGAAATGATGATATTTTTAAATCGATGTGGCGGGATCAACAAGCCCGGATTTGGTCAGAAGTTGTTGGCATAACATTTGACAGCAATCCATGAAAATCTATATTTGTTTATGAATCTCCGCTTGGGATATGAAATACCATTAATGTAGCAATTTAATGTGATACACGCTTGAAAGCTTACGCTGTGACGCACATGTTGTAAATATCAGATGGTTTGTCATGTAGGCCTACGCTGATAAAAAAGGGATTCACCGATTTTTGTCACGAATATCGGTAGTTGTGTGGCAAGCGTCTACAGCATCATAGCCAATCGCGAAGAGAAAAGATGTTTTAGACTTAATAGGAATTAGGTCAATGCAGATATTTCTATTATTACGAGACACGTGACTAATAAAGGTAGGCCTATATATAAGTGCGTATGGCGCTAAAATAAGTATTCAAATCAACACGGACCACATGTGTCTATTTTGCATGTGATTGTAAAATCACCTTGATATATTCTACCTGTAAATACAACTTTTAAGTGTTGTGGTTGATTCGGATTTCCGGAAAAAAAATCAAGAAAACGTTAATAAAAGTTGAATGGGATTGTCTATAATTCAAATCCACTCCATCCTAAGCCGTGGATTATCTGAGGCCTAAGTTTAAGCATTAAAGCAAAGATACTAGAAACACAAGATAGGGTTCTCCACAGGCAAAAAAATGTTCACCGAAATGCATTGTGGGAATACAAACAATGGGGCGCCGCGTACGGCTGGATTTAAAAACTTATGACAAATTTTACATCACGGTGACCTCCAGCGGCCCGTTTATATATTGAAAACTGAAGGGCGCCGCTTACGACTGGATTTGCGTAAAAGATGTGACGTATATCCGCCTCACTTTCGCTGTGCGAGTGCTCTATCTTGTATTTCTAGTATCTTTGATTAAAGTGTTTTCTGTGTAAAGTTTGAATACGAATGAAAATATTTTAATTGTAAAAATGTACAGCTGAGTAATTTATATTGGTTGGTTTTTCATTAGGCTTATTATAAAACTGGATAAACCAGTGGACATTTCGTATAAAATACAAAATCAAAACACTATAAAATAAAACAAAACTGACTCCTAGCGAGAGTAAACGCCATAAACATGGCAAACATCATAAACGTTATAGATAACCGAATTAGAAGAGTCTACATAAAAGTGAAGAAAAACAATTAAAGATTTAGATTGGTTCCTTGTTCCCAACCCTCTGTTTCAGACGACAGGGCTGTATTGTACAAATTTGTTTTACATTATTTAAATTAAAATCAGGAATTAAAAGAAAATTGTTATGCGACAGGTTTATTATACAAATATCAACACATCAATAGATGGATTATATTTGGATATTTCCTGGATGTTTTAGATAACTGTTTGTCATTAAATGATTTATTCATGCTCCTCTGTAACAGTCAGCACTTGATGTTGACAATATATTTATTACACATGTGGGTATCGTTATTGAATACAGTAATAATTGTATAAATCATAAGGAATATAAATTCTACAGTTAAGGTGTATTTTGAAAGGTGCTAAGCAGGCGCCAACACTTGTAGAAATTATGTGTTAGTATTGTCACGTTCAATTAACAGTATCAATAAAAATAGATGTCATCCAATCAGAGTTATCCACACGGTTTATCCCTCTTGAATGGGTGACAAAATTAAATGCATGCCTAATACCTGCCAGACAAATTTCTTTTCATCGAAAGGTAAAAAAAAAAGGTGGTAACTGGCATGTATAAAAATAACCCTTAGGAAGTACAGTGGTGGTGATAAATTTCGATTTTTCATCAAAATAGCTTTAGAAATGTCAAAACCACTTGCAACTCTTAAATCACTCATAGATGAAATAATGGGTTTGCTTATAAGATTACAAATAATTCTTAACAAGTAGGACCTTATAAAGACACTATTGTAACTCTTCGGTTATTTACTTTAATTTAAACACCATCATTACGAGAACCACTGTACATGTAATCTACATTACTGATTTAATGTGGTTGGTTTTTTTTTTCAAACTGTATGTCCACATTATAGGCCTAGATCGATCCCAGAAATTATAGCCCTACAACCACGGAAAATATTTTCTTTCCTTGTTATATTATCCATGACAGAAACAAAAATCACACGGTAGAGAGTTTAGTAACTAGAAAACGTAAAAGTAATCGACGTTTATTTCTATAATGACTCAGTTATCGCTGAATAATCAATCTCCATTTTCTTTTTATTCGTTTAAGCATAGTGTTAATTATTCGACCAAATGCACAAATAGTACCATAAAGAAGAGACTAAGAGTTCGAAGATAGAAAAATGTTCACTATTAACAGACATTGCGTTTAAAATTAATAGGACAATTTTTTGGTGTATTTCACCTCATACCATGAGCCTATGTAATATCGGTATCTTTCTAATTTAGGACGTTTTGTATTCTCTGGAGGAAGTGCAGTACCAATGGCCAAATCAACGGTCTCTCAAAATGTCTCAAAATTTAAGACTATTCTTTAATGGGCCAACCCGCTATGTATCAACATATTGTTAAAACAATGACCAAATATTGCTTAGGATAACGCCATTTACATATGCCTGTGAGTGTTTGACATTTCGCACGTCGATATAAATGCAATGAATTAATAATGTTTAGTGTTTTATTTAATATATATTGGTGTTGTAAATATGTAAATTATGCAATTTCATACAATATTAAAAGGTGGAATTATGAAACATTAACATTAATTTTAAATAAAATATGAATGGACAATATTTAAAAGTAATAACATCATTGGAATGAATAGCAATTATATTTTAGCTGTCTTTACCTAATAATGCGTTACGAATCGTATTGGGAGAGTTCCAATAAAATAGAAAGTTACACGAGTGTTGTAGATTTATGAAGTTGATATCCTCTATTAGGAGGTAGGACTAGATAGAACATATTAACAAATCGTTAAATACCATGTACATACATACATATACATACATACATACATACTATAATGAAATGTGTAGATATTGTTGTAAGTTGGATTTTAATGAAAAATTATTAAAATCACCACAAAATGCATTAGCTTCTTATAACGTGTATGGCTTTTATTTAATCTCATGCCGTCTAGCTTCATGTAGTCAATTATGTAGGTAGCCTCTGTGACGAGGTTACGTATTACGTAAGCTAAGCTTTCGGTAATTATCCTTATACATAACCATTATGGAATAAGTTTTAACACATTGGATGGACAAGATTTCCTGCTAAAAAAATTCTTTCATAGAATCCTTTGTGAAGAAAGCCTCTAGCAGTGGTTTCAGAGTGGCCGAGACAAGAAAACTTTAGGAAATTTAGGAACCTTCTGCTCTAGGTTCCCTGAAAAGTTTTTATTAATTTAATATATTATTTTAAAGAACTACTTAAAGTAATACAAAATAACAAATGAAAAATGGAAGAATAGCAAAGAAATTTGGAGCAGCATAAAAATGTTTTCCGAAAATTATATGGTAATAAATCGAAGTCTAGGTGTCAAGCCCGTCACGTTTCATAATGCGACATCGAATTTTTAACTATACACATCAGTTTTAAGGCTGCCTGGTAAAGCAACATTTATAATAAATGTTTGCAATATCACCCGTCCATATAGATCGCGCTGAATCGTGTTATGGAGAATAACTCGACGTTTTAAATAGATTGCTCTACTCGTCTTCGGGAGAATAATGAAGAGATTCTATCATTAGTGACATCATTTATACAGTATATAAATTACATCACTGATGATTGAGTCTTAATTATTTTCCTGAAGACCTTTAGAGCAATCTATTCGAAGCGTTGACATATATTCTCAACAATGGCTATTTTCAGAGCAGAGTGGTGTACCACAATTGTACTGTAGACCTTTTCTTTTATTCACAAAAAGTATTAAACTCTCTACAAAATATCTGTTTCCTTAGAATAATTTAAATATTATAAAAAAAAAGAAGATTCTTTGTATACCTATATACTGCAAACATTGATTTTATATAGTAATACTGTACAATTTATAATTATTCACAAAAAATCTTTCAATAATAAAACATACATCTTTGAATAATTTGAAGGTGACAAAAATTAATGTTCTTTACTATAGTATTATTTATGAAAAGTAATATATACCCTTGGGTAGGTTCATGCTTAATGCAATTAAGAAAGAACGGTTCTTCAACTTTATTTCTTACTTTTTGAAAGGAGGAAAATCCAGTACATTCAGAAGTGTATTGTGGGAGCCATTATACAACATTACATAGTATGGCATGTGATTGATGTTCATAAACAGAACGATGATTTCAGTGCTTTGGTTAAGTTGCTTTCTACTTAAAATTTACAGCAATTATTATCATCAGCATCCTGACATATATTTGACTTTTATTTAAGTAGCAAAAAAAAAAAATTCCAAGTAAAAGCTGACCTATATTTCGAGGGAAGCTTTAATATTTGCCTCTGCAATGTCCCATGTGTCACACACATGTTCAGATGTGTCACATTAGTGTCTAGTAGTGTACAGTATAAATACAGCATTATGCATTGATGATTGTCAAGGGCAGAAAGCGTGCACTCAAATCCAGTTATATGATCACATCATTAGTGTTGCTTATATTCTTATACTTCCTAGTTGTTATTATGTAATTTTGAAATTGTTCTGGCAGCTATATTTACACAGTGGAATATCATGCACATTACTGTATTGTCAATATTATTTTACTACGCCTATGTTTTTTTTTTCAGTGTTAATTTGCAGTTCTGAAACAATGTATACAGTACTAACTTAATTTACATTATTAGCACATATTTATACTATTATTATTATTATTATTATTATTATTATTATTATAACTAGCACTAACTTGGACTTAAGGGGAATATCTTTTGTGTTATTTTCCCCTTAACGTTGTTTACTCTACTTTCTGCATTGTCTAAGTTCCCCTTAAAGTGGTATTATTATTATTGTTATTGTTATTATTATTATTATTATTATTATTTTTTTATAATTATTTTTGGCATGTCAAGAACTTCATTATAAATCATGCTTGATTACATTGTTTTTAACAAAATGATAAAATACCTTTATTTAATCATTAAAGATTTTCAGTGATAAAAATAAATATATTAATAAAAATTAGGAAAACATATTACAAATATGACTAAAACATTAAACTGCTCATTAAATAAATAAATAAATCAAATAAGTTCCAACGAGGCTCTAATTTTATAGATATTTCAATTCAAAAATACAAATAAGGTAATATAAAAATAAAAATAAGTATGGCAATATTTATGTATCTGTTATTTAAGTAATATAAATACTCTTGTTTAAATTTTCAAATAATTTGCTTCAATATACAAACTAAGCAACTGAAGTATTATATAATAGTTTTGAGCTTTCTAGATCTAAAAACTCAGACCTACATATTTTAATATACATACACATACTTACATGACAACACAGGAGCCCTGGAGTCCACTTCTTTAATGTTTTTATACATGAAGTATTATTGAGTTTATCTCTACGTGTAACAAAACAACTTGCCTTACTTAACGGAAAATCGGTCACTGAGTGATAAAAAAATCCACTATAAATCACAAATGAGTAGGGAATAATATTACACAATATAAGTAGTATCTGAGTCGTGGACATCTAGAAAACTCAGGTATTATTTATATTGTCTATTATTTCATACACATTTGTAATTTATAGTGCTTTTCATCACTAAGCGACCACTTTTCTGTTAAGTAAATTTGTTACAACAAATTTAGATCTAATTTAATATACATGAATCTGAGTTTTATAGATAAAAGTTTTCTATACGCCTGCACACTAGGCAATAAACTTGAAAAAAATTCAAATAACGTCAGGGGGCCAAACTTAACTTGAGCTAATGTTGCTCAAGACCCACTAACCTAGATCTAGGACAAGTCATACTGCAAATACTGTATGTACGACTCAATGCGGCAGCAAGTTTTTACAATGTTTATGCAAAGACTGCTTTGATCAACAATGTGGCAAATTATGACATGATCCAGCTAGCCTAGGCTAGTAACTGCAAAATCAAGCAAACTGGTTTACAAGAAGCAAGTATAAAATAAACAGACAGTACCCTCCATTATCAAGGTTGCTATTCTTCCAAGATTTCACATAGTCCAGAATGTGTGTGTGATAAAAATAAAATATAAATTGGGAGATCAAACTTATTATAACTTGCTCCTTATCAGTTAAAAGTTATAATATTTAGAATGAAAATGGTTAAAAAATGTTTATTGCATAAAATGATTTCACCAAGGTACCATACGCCCTCCACAGTTCAAACATGTACTCCGCAAAACCATCTTGTACCAGCTACCTATCCAACACAAAGAAAACACAAATTAAATGATGAAAAGCATATGTATGTGGTTAACATTGGTAAAAACAGGCAGGGGTGGACATAAAAATATTACATGAAAAATTTTCATGTACCTTTAAGAATATTACATTTTGTTCCATTTTGCAAATTTTAGACAAATATGTTTTAAATTCTGTTGCACTATTATTATTTTTGTTTGTTAAGTACTTTTATTGATGATTGGCAGTGTATTGTAACAGCACCAGGTTTTCAAACTAAGTATGTAAGCTGGCTACACAAAAGTTTTTAAATAACTTTCGCAGGCCCAACAAAATTTCAGTTGGGCAACATGTGCCCTGCAGGTGTAGAACACAGTAAGGAAGTTAGACACTTCTTTCTGTTGGTATAACTGAATGGATCAAATAAAGATGATGGAATTAATTATGCTAATGACCATCACTATCACTTACAGTTTAAATTCTGTTTGTTCATTTGCTTGGATTTACATAAAAAAGTTTAACAGATATAGACAGTGGTTTATCTAAGAGTCTTGAAATTGGGGGTGGGGCTGATTGGGGTGCAAAAGTGAAGTGGGGGCCTTGATGATTAAGTAAGGGGTGGCTCGATTGCAAAATACGGTGATGGGGTGGTTTATTCTATGTGAGCATGATTTTTTTGCTTCAAACATTTTTAATGGGGGTGGTTACTGGGGGCACAAGTTTGTTTTTGGTGGATGTTATTTGTTATTTTTGTATTTGGTGTTTATATAGCGCCTATTCCATTAGGTTACAAAGTGCTTTGTTTTCACTGGTTATTGGGTCCGCATGCTTAAGTTTTGCTGCCATACTAGCACAACAGCAGGGAACCCCTATACTCCCAGGTGGAGAGAAGCAATGCCGATAAAGTGCCTTGCTCAAGGACACAAGCAAATGCAGAGTGAGGGATTGAAACCCCGACATCAATGTTAGGAAACCAAACTGTTCCCGCTGCGCCACACCGCTTCCACAAGCGTGATCCATGCCCCCTCCCCAGATACGCCACTTGAGGTTGATAACAAATTTGAAAGTAATTCACAAAACATGATAATACCTTCTCCAGGCTTCAATGCAATGGCTCCGCAGACCTCACAGTAATTAGTTGGTGACCGCTGACACAGGCGCAAAGACTGGCTGCATCGTCCTGTAGGTTAAAAATGAACATACATAATTTAAAGAAAAAATCAATAATATGTGAAAAAGTAATGTGTAAAGCAAAATTATGCATAGTTTGAGAATAACATTGAGCAATAAGGATTTCAAACTAAGACCTCTGAGAGATATACAATATAAACAAAAAATCTACATTAAAAGGGTTCACTCTAAAGCTTTGATATTATAATATAACAAAATGTTAATAACAGTAAAAGTGATGATGATGACAATTATGATGATGGTGATAACAATGATGATGATGATGATGATGTTGATGATGGTGATGATTTAAATATTTTTTTAGGTAATGTACACATTCAAAGATATATTCTTGGTTTTCCTTACTGTACTGTTTATTGTAATTTCTTATTCCACAACTTTATTAGGTTTTTTTTTTGATATTCAAATTACTGTTTCTCTTCTTTTTTTTGCATGTGCATGCCGCTTGCTATGACCCGGACTGTATACTTTCTTTTGTAAATTACATTTCCATTTAATACCAATAAAGAATGATTAAAATAGTAGTACATAAAAGTGCAAATTTAATGGTGAAATTAAACAGAATACTTACTCCATTTATGTTTGTTTTTGCATTTTCCATCAAATATGTTGGTAAATGGGATATTTGAGCTACCATTAAGGAGATTAAAACATCAACAATCAACGTGATTACTTTATTCTCAATACCATATTCAATTCAATTCAATTTATTATAGAATTCCACAAATCGTGGCCCGGAGGCCAAATTGCATGTAAAATTACAAGTAAAAACATATAAAACAAATGGCAGAAATATAAAAAAGTCATAAAAAAGACATATAAAAATGAAAAAACAAACAGGAAGAAGATGCGGGTCCAAATATCAATATAGAGCCTTGTCCAGTATCCCAGAATATAATTCCCCTGCGGGGTTCATGATTGGAGAAGTACGGTTTAGAATTGTACTTTAAAACATAAAATCAAAGATTGGCAATTACAATATAATTGTTTGGATCGGTAAAATAATATTTTTTCCCTTGTTATATATTCTTATAATTTCAGAAATATTTGTGAGAGTGTAACTGTTGCAAAAGTGAGAGATGCTTATTAGTGGCCCTTAATTAAGTTTGTTACTCATAAGGATATTACTTGAACACAAGCAGCAGACCTCAGCAGCTGAACTTTGAGCATTCTCCTTCCTTAACTTTTCATACACTTTTTTAACAATTATCTTGTCCTGGATCTCATTTAATGTGTTGCACCCAATCAGCCAATTGAGGGCCAGATGTATGGACAAGGCATCCTCTGAAAAAAAAAGCAAATTGTTGTGCAGTCAACTATAGGAATTCTGATATATCAAAGTCAAGTTGAGAAAACATCAATTATGGTAACTAAAAACAGCATACTTTTTTAGGACATTAAGAGTTCAAATCAGGGCAAACATGCAATACCTATGTCATTAGATAACCCAATTTATAGAAGACATATTATCCTCACTTATTTTTAGAATTTGACATTACCTACATAATTATCACTAGCATCACCATTTCATCAGTATTTCAATTGCAATACTCATCATCATTGTCAACATCATCGCCATCATCATTATCGCAAGCTTTGAATGTTATTTATAATGATGATTATTAATGATATTATAATAAAAAAATAAAAATAAAATTTGATTTCAATTTGTTAACTAACTATAAAGTGCAATGGTTTAGCTTGCACATTTGACCTGCTGCATACAAACTGCGCTGCTCGCTACAGTAGTTCAACAAAAACAATTGGAGCACGAATAGTTCAAGCACCAGCTTGAGACGTCACAGCGTCAATATTAAAGTAATGATGACTATGATAATGGAGATGATGAGGATGAGTGTCCTAAGAAACACCTTCTCTTTATGATTCTTAGAACGCATATACTGTACATAAAGCATGCTTACCAAACAAATTGATCCAATTAGAAAAAGGTCATATTCCAAATCAGGAAATACAAATTGATTGATAGTTAACAGATTGCTCATACTGTACTTAAGTATAGAAACATGTCACTTTGTACCGAATCACTGAAGCACAGTCAAATAGAGGCCAATTTGTTTGTTGGCTCTTTACGACCAATTTGTTTAGTGGCTCTCTAATGTGGTGAGGTATATTTTGCTATATTACATTTCATCTGATATGAAGTGTTTTTTTTTTTCTTTTTCGAGTTAGAAGTTGATTAACTGAACTGAATATATTTCAACAAATCATACAATATAAAATGATACATGTTTTGTTGCATCAAATTTTACCTTTAAATTTATTTTCACTTTATTAATTTTTTAACCAACATAAATAGAAACCTCCACTAACAGGTTGGAGAAAAAACATATACAATGCTATGTTAATAAATATATTTTAATTTTAAATTATTTTGATGAAATTTTAATATTTCACTGTTATAATATTCATATATTTTATTGTAAATTAAATATTGATACATTTTTATTCTGAAAAAAACGATTACTTTACTTACTTTATACTTACTTTGCATAGTACTTTTATAAAGCAGACAGTCTCACATCATAGCTACTTACTTACAAACTGGAGTATGTAGGATGTTTCAATTTTTACAGGCTTTACAACAATAGATCAATTTTGATTAGTAAGAATATGCTGTTACTGTATGTTTTGTATAGATTTTCAGAATACATAGTAGAAAACTGGAAGGGCAGACAAAGAAAAATGGTTGCCTTACAGTGGTGGCACCAGCGGAGGGTGAATCAGTGTGTCCGACCCACGTCAGACAGGCCTGGACCCTTGATGCCACAACAAGGACGTCTGATAAAAATAATAATCTGCCTATCCAAATAATGCTATTTTGATTGCCAGTCCCTAATATTCAGTGGTCTAAAAGCACAATTTGGAACATACTGTACTAAACCATAAAGTTTATATTCCAGGATCCTGTCCAAGGCTAGTCGGCCCCTTGGTTAAGACCCCCTCCCCATTGGACATGTCGGAACCCCTGTTGGCAAATTTCTGCAGCCCCGTTGAGGTGTACTATGAATATGGAACTGCTGTCGTGTTAAGATATATTTTCTCTTTATGCCCGTATCTCTCTCTTTTGTGAAGTGCATAGCAGCTTATATAATATTATGCGCCACATAGTTATTTTTATTATCAGGGGTGTAACACACCACACTATGAGTTTTAAGCTGTTACAATAAAAAAAAATGTTATGCTGCGCCAAGATGACGCGCATCATTATTACGTATTCAGTGTACCATCTTACAATGCCCGGTGCAGTGTGTCACAAGGGGTGTCTCAAAGGACAGGTTCTACTCTATTGCTTTAAATATTGATATCATTATTACATCAAGTTCACAATGTCATGGCTATTACTTTTTATGAGAAATTGTAGCACAAGTGGAGGATTTGAAGCTGACAATTACCTGTTTGTATCACTTGCGGTGAAACTTGCCAGAACCGAAGGGAGCCCACTAAGTGGTCAGCTAAAAGGCTTTTGGTTATCTTCTCCACCTCAACATCCTATCAACATAAAAGTACAGGAAGCTATTTTTATTACAGAAAATTCAATAAATCCTGTAAGAGGAATCACTTTGCAAGATCATTGCCATTTGTTTTTGCATTCCAAGAAGACATTTTTGAAATTTGTTTCATTAGAAACACATTTTGCATTATACAAGCAAGGTTGTTTAATACCTCCTTGATACGAATAAATTATAATAAATATATATACAGTAATTGAATGTAAAAAAGTAGTATAGCCGTATTAGTCAGTTTATACAAATTAAACAAATGAGTAGTTAGCACTTTTTTGACTAACAATGAAATTTATTTCACAAGTCAATGGGGATTCATCAGATGAGCACCTGATGAAGCCCCATTGACTGGAGCAAAGGCTTGTGAAATAAAATTCATCGTTAGTCAAAAAAGTGCCACCTACTCATTTGTTTCATTCATAATTGAATGTGAAGTTAATAATTGGTGATTTCATTAATTTTATTAAAAATTTAAACTAGATTGTCCAATCTTATCAATTTACCGAATGTTAAAAATGGAATTTAAATAAAAGGATTATTGAAATAATTAATATCAGCAACAATAAAAATAATACTGTATTTCAAAAGGTTGATTTACTAATCCTTTTTTTTAGAATTAATAGGGTCATCCCAAATCCATCAATGTTTTTTCTTTCCATCTTTTGTTTGCCTATATCGTTGATGGATTCGAAATAAAAACAAACATACTAATAAAAATTACTATAGCTGTAAGTAGAAAACTAAAGATTTCAATGACAAATCATGGAGGATAGAAACCTTAAAAAGCTAGTGTAGACTCATAGCTAATGATCATAAAGGTTTTGAAAATCTAGTACAGGGTACTACTATAAGGTCTTAACAGGCAGCCAAAGATGGTCTTTCACTTTAGATATTAACAATTAGTTCATTAGTTACCTGTGTACTTTATGTTAACATAAAAATAAATCCAGGTGAAAAAACTGTCTTGTTGACATCATTTTGGACTTTAAAATGTGACATGGTTTAATCAAGGTGTTCATCCTTCAATCCCAGTCATGGGTTCAAACCACAAAATAAGCCACACTCCCTTATTCCTTGGACGTATATAGAAGAACCTGTCTTTAATTCAATGGAGCTGCAGTATACTATAGCTTCCATCTCAATTCATGGATCTACATATAGCTCAAAATCTTGTTAGTAAAGCATCATTTATTTATATCCATCCAGTAATTTGCAAGTTACTCTCCACTAAAACAACTTTCAAGCTAGAATAATAATATTGAACCAAAAAAAATATTTTCAGTGAAAATTATCAGCGTTCATGCACATGTTCATTATTTACTGCAGTCATTTAGTGACAAGCAATCATAACTAATTAGAAGTCCTTTGAGCTATCTGTAAAACACATTAAATTACTATTAAATTTATATTACAGGATTTACGAAAGAAAAAAAAAGTGATTTTTGTTGTTAGTCATGTTAACATATAATTGTACTAAGTGCCTTTCAGCCTTCATGAATTGCAAAAAAAAATGCCTGTAATATAGATATTGACTTGTTGAACCAAGTAAATAGTTAAATATATATTTTAATTCTTCATGCATACACAATTTAAAACATCTCACGTTTATAGCTTTGGTATTGCCAAATAGCTCTGATATTGCCCAATATTGCCCATGCACCACAGCCATTTGACTAGAACCGCTTTTCTCTGTCAGACTCAATATTCGGACAAATTGTCCCCATTGAATGTATCCTACGACCTATATTCACTACAGTCTATGTGATGCTCAGACTGGCTATAATGTATCTCTCACTAGACTGGCCTGAAATGACTCTCATTAGACTGGGCCTAGGTGAACCTTACTAGACTAAAACTAGGTAACTCAATAGGCTGGCCTGAAATGACTCATTAGACTGGGTCTAGGTGAACCTTACTAGACTAAAACTAGGTAACTCATTAGGATGGCCTAGAACTCATTTTATAATTAATCATTTTCAAATATATTCATCATAGAGAAAGGAAAATGTTCATGACTATGAAAAAAACAATGAAGCAACACAATAACATGTACATCACTTAATCTTAAAAATATATTTAAAAGAGAGGGTTAAGTTTAAAGATGACAAAGAAATAGAACTAGTAACAAGCTTAGTAATCTATTATTATATTTTAAGGGTAATCAACGGCCGATATATTAGATTACAATAATATTAATAAGTTAATACAATGAAAAATAGTTGTATAAGGAAATGCATATTGTATTTCAGTTTGACATATTGTATTTCAATTTGTTAATAATTTTTCATTATTTTACATACATGGTTTTTATGTCTAGGCTACCTCAAATATTTTATATTTTATTTTTTTTCTATTTCGAACATCATCCAACAGCAAAAAGCCCATTACAGGATATCTTAAATACAATACATATACATATAAAAAATATATAAAAAATGCAAAACAAATGAATAATTTATTAATTAAATTACATTATGAAATTGGAATAAGTAAAATTTTTCAAAAATATTGCGAAGAGGAACATCCTAGGCTGGAAATTGCAGATACAAAAAATACAGATAAAAATACAAATAAATATATATAAACAAACAAATGCAAAATAAGTGAATAATCAATTAATTAAATTACATTATATTTGTGAGATCTCACCATGAAATGAGACGCATCGTTGGTGAAATCATATTGAGATATTCACCAAAACAGGCCAAAGTCAACATTTTTACAAAATTTTGATTTTAATGTTTTTTAATAACTTGATACTTATATTTTATGATTTGTGGCGAGACCTCACAATTATTATTCTTGGATATTAGCACCTACTGTACTAATAGCAACATAGTTTCTGATTTACATTCAATTTTGTCATCCATTAAATAAACTTATAAATGTCTTGAGTATCAAAAATCTTGAAATTAGTTTTAAAGAGTGTTTTAATTTCTTAACTTTAGTAATTATTGTAGTCCTAATACAAACTATTTAGGTCAGAATGAGAAAAAGAAAGTGTAGTAAATTTTCAGTGAAAGAAACAATCCGAAAGGTGACAATAACTCTTGACAAGTCAATTACAGAATATAAAATATTTTAGTGTGAGGTCAGAGCCCTCTGGCACCCACAACCTTGTCCTCTGATGTCACAAGAAGTTCCAAACAGAACATAATGTTTTCTGATATATGAACTCATGAACCACTGCTCTAATATGTAACTTACTAATGAGAACAAATGATTTGAAAGCTCTAGATAAGTCAATGATTCTTTGTCAGAAATATAACAAGTATGTAAACTCATTTTCCTTGATGTATTATTAGAGTTTAAAATATTACAAAAACAGTATTGCTATATACCATCTGAAAAAAAAAACCGATAACGATTGCCCAGAGCGGTTATTTTGCACTTAGTCGACAAATGCAGAATTGGTCATCATATCTAATGTGAAAATTCTTTTTAAAATAATGTCTAATTCCTTAACAACTTCTTTATACAAACTATTTATAGAAGTTTAATTTCTTTCTGAGCAGTTTTTATTACATGAAGAATCTGCTTACTGTATTGTGACAAGTTAACATATTATAATAATATATTGCTTTAAGAACAGTTGAATTACAGATTTGAAAAACAAGAACCATAATATCACTATCTAATTTATGAAGATTTAGTTTCTTGATATAAAAATCCTTTGATTTGCTTCCTAATACATGATTACATTAAGCATTTTAATTTGTGTAGAACTACTAATTTTTACCATCTACATTTACTGGTTTTATTAGCAATTTTTTTCTGCCAGATTTTAAAACCATTTTTCAAACTTAGGTTAATTCTTTTATGGCTACTACAAATTACACCTGAAATAGCAGTCATCTGCATACCTTACAAGGGAACCTCACCTGTGCACTGTGTGGAGAGAACAGCAAAAAACACAGCACTGATCAATCTAAAAAACTGCTGGATGACATTCAGATTAATCAGGCCCGTAGCCAGGTCATTTCAAGGGGGGGTTCTCTGGGCATGGGGTCCAGGGGCCTGCCTAAGGGCCACGGAGGGGTCGGGGCGAAGCCCCCGAAGCCAGAGCAGTTTTTGTGTTTATGGGTCTATACAATGTTATAAAAGCAGTTATGTTTTGAAAAAGATCTATGTAATAAAAAGGTGATAATATAATAAAATTAGAAAATATTTTCTGAGAATTGGCATGTTTAAATCACACCAAAAGATATAAAAAAAAACCTCATTGCATAATCAATACTTAACACATTTATTATTATAAAACAAAAAAAAAAAGCTATTCTTCTTCTTCTACCTCTTCCTATTCTTCTTCTACTAGTTCTTCTTAACTCTCATTTTGTACACTGAAAATAATAGTACTATTTTACTACATGGCTAAAAAAAGCACAAAATATTGTCATTACTACTGACAGGGCCATCGTTAAATTAAGTCAGAGCCCAAAACATAGCATCATATTTAATACGTCATCTGACATCATGAGAACCTACACTTTAATTACAATTATTTGTTATATACTAGGCCTAAATTTGAAATTATTATTTTAAGACTTTATAACATAATACATACTGATTATGTTATAAAGTCTTAAAATAATAATTTATAATAACATAATACATACTGATTATTAATAGCTGAGATTTGATGCACATTTCAGAATTAATAATCGTTTTTAGTATATCTTACTGAATATTTATTGTCTACTAAATGAAATATGAATTATATGCATCTTTAGAAATACAATTTCTACAATATTAATCTGGTTTTTATAGATAAATGTTCGATAAATTCTATCTTTCATAAAAAAAAAAAAATGAAATTCAGCGCGTCTATTTTCATTCTAATCAATGGCGTTTGTAAACGTGCACGGACATCATCGTCGAATCCCAGGACTTTCGACGGTAAAGCTGGCCTGCCTGCTAGGTCCCAGGCCAACCAATAATAATTAACAAAATGTATT